TGAAAAGTATTGACTGCGTTGGTTCGACCTTGTTTTCGCAACTTGGTCTAGGCGTCAGGGAGACCCTGTGGAACGTACCTAGTCCCATGTCCTCTGCCATAGTATTCGTGATTTCCAGCATTGGACGATTGGCTGGATATATTTCCAAATGTTTGGGCATGTGCTCAATGAATGGGCCAATGCTAGAAATCCCGAATGCTACGGCAGAAGACATGGGACTAGGTACGTTCCACAAGGTCTCCCTGATGCTCCAACCAACACTATGAAATGAAAGGACACTGCGACCAAACAGAAGACCACAGCATCTTGTTCTTCATATCTACGATACAAAGTATTGATTCTTGTTCTGCTGATGTTTATCACAGTACAGACGATAACTTAGCACAGATTATCGGGGTCGCAGGACGGTGAGCCGACGACTTCTTTGCACAATACAACATTTTTTTAGTTTCCGGTGAGACGGCATCACGAATTCCTTCCTACCAACTTTTCCTTCGAAATAGAAATTCATGTCATAATATATCACTAAGCAATTCTTCGAAACCCAGTTTTTCTTCATATCTCCATAACAATATCTGCTTAGGTCTATATGTAATTCTTTTTCACTGAATTGCGGTTTATTCTTAGCTTCTTGTACAACTGCCATTAAAGCATCGTGTGGTTGACTAAGTTCTGTACAATCGCTTTGAATCCTTGCTAATGGTATTTCAAGCTCCATCCACATAATATTTTTTAGCATGACAAGCTTAGGGGTTTTGATGAGAATGCGTCTTTCCGTACATTTTTCCTAATCTTTTCTGCCATCCGAGCTGAGCAGCAACGTTTTTTGACAGACAGTTTTGTTCTCGTAATCAAACCAGTGCCAGGAACCTCTCTCATGTCTTCGGATGGATAGGAAGCACTCGCAAGCTGGATGCCCGAGTCCGCTTTTTTTCTGACACGTCTCGTCGGGATTGTCTGCATTCCAGAGACAAGAGAGAAGCATTACTTGGCACTTGTCCTGAAATCACTCAAGACGGGCACAAACCTGCATTCATTTAGTCGAGACATTTTGTACACTCCGGCACCTCTACACCGGGCTTCCTCCCTCATCCCAGCTCTTGGTAACTCGTTTCCATTCTTCTTCACTAGTATCCAGTATAGACATTCATCAGCCCAAGTCGCCATCACCAAAAAATCAAAATTGTACGTTATTTAAATGTTTTCCTTACTACACAACGACAGTTCTATCAAACTCATCATGTGCATACTTAGGCATTCATCTTCATCTTCATGCATCTGGGTGCCTTTGTGTGCCTGTGTCTGTCTCTCTGTCTGTATTTATGTTCATTTTTCTGGCTAATTGTCAATATGCCTTATATGTATGCATGCCTATGCTTATTTGTGAGTGTGTGTGGAGGAGCAGTCTGCTATTTCAACGTGGTACATACCAATGGTCGATCTCAGACCCATCTCACCTCAGACCCATCTCATCTTTACACTTAGCCGAGTATGAAGATATGATTTTATCCTTTTACATTCTTACCTTTTTACTTCCTGTCCCGTATCAACTCTCTCATGCATTGATGGGGCTACCATTTTATCGTCAAGTTTTCTGTAACTTCATATATATATATATTTATATTTATATTTATATAAGCGTATGTGCCTATACGCCATTCCCGATGTCGGAGTTCCCCTCCCTTGTAGGGGCTGAATGGGTCTCGGTTGAATGGTCAGAAGCCGAAGTTGGGAAGAAGTCAATGTAGGCCTGAGCAAGTAAATTAAGGGGGGGATATTCTACAAAAATGATGAGTGAAAATCTCGGTCGGATTTAACTGTCTGCTCGATCGGCTGCCATGCGTCTTCATTCCTACCTCTGTATTGACTCAAAACCTCTTCTGTCATGGTATCTTCACCGAATATCTTTGATGTAAAGGCCAGAATCCTGACCATCAGTGTGTCAATGTATGTTTAAACTAAGCGAACAGGGGGCGGAAAGTAGAGGTATGGCGACGGATAGAGACGAGAGAATATGAAAGATGAAAATAAAAATAAGAGCTAGTCCAGGATTGCGCGAGTTTGCAGTAGTGCAAATAAGAGAAAAATTACTGTCAAGGCAGATAAGAGTAGAATGTAGAGGGTAGTCTAATAAATGACCTCATGCAGGCATGAGAGAGTGGGTGAAAAGCCAAACTTCAGGAAGAGATAGCGCGAGAGGGATGGAAATAAATGACAGAGAAAGAGCATATGGCAAGCAGATGGGTACATTGGACAGGGCAGAAGAACCGAGATGGATGGCAAAGAAAATATGGTCGCTTTCGTCGACACAACGGGTCTCTAGATTTGATTGATGAAAACAAGAGGGCGATTTCGAATTTCTACTTGGATAAATCGTCAAGTTTATCCCTGTCCTATCTTCGTTATGATATCAGTTTAACCCAGGCATGAAATTTGATCCAACTTTGACAGTCTCCAAGTGAATCGAACAAACGCAATCAATCAAATAGACCACCCGGTCCCAGAGCGATTGAACTCATTTCGTAGGCCAGGCCGAACGAACCTGGCCACCATTCGAGGGTTAACTTTGCTTCCAGTTGGGGTTAGTTACTTGCAAGGCTAGGTTCGTAACTTGATAATTCCAACAGCCATAGACGATTTTTTGGTCTGGACTTCACAGCATTGTCGGTTCGTTATTGATGCTTGGCGTTCCAAGAATCCCTTTCATTCTGGTTAGAGGTATACTTTTTTTTAATTACTCTATAATTTGCATCAGCTTGGAAAGTGTATGCGCTTCTTCATTTCTATAAAGAGTGTTAGGCGAAAATCTCCAAACGAGTGTATCATTTCTTCAAATATTGTTCTTGTTCTGTCCTTGATGTTCTAGTTTATGTGCATATACTGACGCCCAGCTGTTTCTATCATTAGACAAGTTGCCGATTAAATTGTAGAAAAAGTTGTGGACCAGGCCAAAATACTATTTCAATACAGTAAACTTCTTTTTATCCTGTAGATACGAAGAGAAACTTGGTTTCGATGAATCTCCTGAGATATCATTGTTAGGGGGAACTTCA